TGAATTGAGTAACTTTCCAATAAGTCTTCATTTGTTTATAGCTCTACATAGACCCAAGCACTTCTAGATCCATAAACTACTTTGATTCTTATAATAAATATCTTATCCCATTTTTGTAGATAAAGAATCTGAGACTCTAAGGATTTGATTGCCTAAGATTACATAGTTAGTAATACATGTGGGATTCAAACTTAGGTCTTTTTATTACAAACAGAACACTCTTTTTTTTTTCTATGACACTGTAATTGTAATCCTAGGTCATTCTTAGATGTTAGAAAGATGTTGTACCATATAGCCTAGTTAGCAGTAGAATTCACTTACAGGTATCATGTAATACAACATTTTATTTTTAGAGGTGAGGGAATTTCAATCCAGAAACAATAAGTTTTTTGCCCAAGTTCACACAGTTCTAGGTGAAAAATGTCTTCTTAAGTTAGAGTTCCCATATTTATAATAAAAATACAGGACTCCTAGAATTAATAGGATATACTTATACTAAAAAAATTACCATTTATCTGAAATTTAAATTTAATTAGACATCTTACATTTTATCTGGAAGCCCTTTCCCAAGTCCAAAAAGAGAAAGCTAGTCTTACTCATCTTTTGAACATTTTTGAATTTTGGAAATGAAAATATTTTGAATAGAGCACTCCAACTATCTTAAAAAAATAGAAACATTTTCTATGGTTTTACCCTAGTTCTGTTAGCCACAGCCTCCCTGAGCTGAGCTTGCTCCACTACATCACCCAATGGGTTCATTTTTATGGACAATCTAAGAAAAAAACAATTGCAAAGCAGTTTGAAAATACAAAGGGCTTCAGGACAATTATGAACGAAACCAGCCCAGTTAATCATACCAACTACTCAAGGAAAGTCAAATCATGGGAAGAAATCCACAAGGAGCATTGAGCAGGATACCATTCCTATGTACACCTTTAATCAAGATTTAAAAGGAAGACAGCTTGTTCCCTTTGGAAACTATTATGTAATGAAATTAACCCAGCTTTCCACTCCCAGACTAATTATGGAATTTATTCTTTTTAGTTGATTTATGTCCAGGTATTTGGACATATTTTATTGATATTCTTTATTATGTTATCAAAACAACAATAAATAGTTATCAAAAATTTGACCTGACTAGGTATAAGAATCCTGATTTTAGAACTGGTTTTAAGGATTTAAATATTAAAGACTTCTCATGCTTCTTAAATATATTTATATTTAATTGTAGAGTGAATTTCTTGATCTATTGCATGTATCAATGTATGTCTAGGACCTGTGAGGATAAAGCTCCATGCTTATATGTGACCTTCAGTCATTGTGGAAAAAAAAAAAAAATTGCTGTTTCTTAAAGTCACATGGTCATCAGTGAACAATGTTTCTCCTTCTACTGCATAAACATTGGCAATTTGAATTTTTTGTTTCTATGTCAGAGCAGTGTCTTCCACTTTTTACCATCTTTTCCATTCACTCACCATTTGTGTTTCACTTTCATCACTCATTATTTCAGCAAATATTTATTGAGCACCAACTGTGAAGCACACACTGGGATAAAAGCTAAAAGCCACAGCCCTGTCCTCAATATGCTCACAGACTAGTGAAGGACCTGTAAATAATGACATTGAGCAGGGTAACTGTGAAAGCATAGAGGAAAAGGCAATTAATTCTGCCCCAGGGAGGTAGGAAAGGAGTGGAAATGTCAGTTTAAGCCAGATAATATTTACAAGGCAGGGACTTGTTGAAATACCTAAGATATTTAGTGAATGACAAGAAGTTTATGATGGATTGGAGGAAAATGAGTCTAGGTAGATAGTTGAGGTCTAAGTCAAAAAGGCCTTTGGATGTAAAACAAAAAAAACAATTGGATTTAATGGGGATTCATTGGATATCTTCAGCAAGAGAGTGACACAAGCAGATTGGTTTTAGAGAAAGAAATGTGAGAGAGAAGTCTAGGATAAATGGGAGAGGATAAAGATCAGCAGAGAGGCTGATGCCATTGCATCCAAAGGGATGATTCGGAACTGGTGAAAAGCCTGGGTTAAGGAGTTGAAAAGAGGAGAATAGAGTCCCTTTGATAGTACAATTTTATTCTTTTGATCCTTCTCATCATCAAGTCCTGCAAAACTCAAAGCAGTAGTTGAATAGGATGATGTAAGTATACTCCAATTAGAAGAGGTATTGCCAGAGTTGGGAAAGGTCCATAGAGAGCTCACAAGGAAAGCAATTACGAGAACATTTCTGGAAATGTTAGTCCAAGTTTAACTTTTCAATTATTTTTATTAATGTTTCAAAGATAGAAACTTTGATCAAGTTTATAGATGCTAGATAGTTGAAAAGAATACTTAATATACTGGATTTAAAAAATCAAATTCCAAACAGATATCTAAAATATTCAGAGATCAGCTAAATCTAATAAAATAAAATAAAATCTAATAGGGATAAATGTAATGTTCCACAATTGGATCCAAAAGCCAATGCATAATTACAAATGGGGGAAATCTTAGCTTGTAAATGTGAGGAGTTTCAGGTGATACAGTATCAGTATAATATTCTTCCTTTCAAAATTAATGTTTTTTTTTAATGCTGTTTCAATAAATGTATGGTATTAGGGTAATAGCTGCTATAAAAAATAGACTCTTAAATCTCAGTGGTTTAATGTAATTTAAATTAAATTCTTGCTCACTTAACTGTCCTTTCTTATGCTTTGTTTTCCTCCACATGGAAACCCATGTCCTAGATTTCTCCCATCTAGTGGCTCAGTGATTCTCTAAGCTTTGGCCTCACTGTCATTTGCATCTAGCTTAAAGATGAGGAAATAAAGTGTGGAGAAGGAATGGACCTCTGATTCATAAAAAAATTTGGGCCAAAGGTATCAGACATCATTTTCTCTCATATTTTATTAGCAAGGAAGAGTAGGAAATATAGTTCCTGGATGGGCAACTGCTTTCTAGTGACATTATGGCAATAGAAAGACACATGCTGAATTGTTAACCATGTATGCTGCTTATGCCACCTAGAATGGAGATGATATTCTCATCTTTGGCCAGTCCCCAGTTCACAGATGAGTATCAATAGAGAGCATTCCATTTTATGAGAGAAATTGGCAAAGTGAAACATACTCAGAAGCAATTGAAAGAAGATACAATTGAAGTGAAACATACTCAGAAGCAATTGAAAAGATCTGTGAATGTTTATTCTATTATAAAAAAGACCCAGGAGGAATTCAATGACTATCTCCAGCTCTTGGAAATCATATTAAATGTTATTGTCCCTCAGAGTTTTATTTTAATGCTTCTCCTTTCTCAGGTTGTGTTCTGTAACTGGATGATCTTACATATCCTTAAGCTCATATTATTCACTTAGATGTTGAATTTGCTTATCTAAGTTCAATACTGAGTTCAATAATAAGTTCTTCTGAGTTGCTGCCTTATATCCAATTACTAACCATTTATCTTAACTGGTATTTTAAAGTTACATCAAACAAATCTAGGTTCAACTCATTGTAACACCTCCAACTTGGTATATCAATAATTGGCAGTATCAACGGCCATCCAGTTGATCAAGTTAGAAGCCAGAGTCATCTTGAAATTGCCGCCTCTCCTTTACCATCTATATCAAATTAGTTATCCAGGCCTGACAATTATATTTCATGAATATTTCCTAAAGGTATATACATTAGTACGAATTGACTCAGATTTTCATCATTTTTCACCTGGATAAATGAAATAAATTTTTGAATGGTCTTGCCTCTTCTACCCTTGTTTGTTTACTCTGCCACAAGAGTGATTTCTGTATCTTTCCTTAAATTTTTTCTTTTAAGGAATTTCTTCGTTGGCTAACTCCTATTTGTCCTTAAAAATCCATTTAAGACTTTCTCTAACTCCCCACATCCGGATTAAATACCTCTTTCTGTATATCTGAACACTCTGAATGTACTAGTGCACATCTCCTCATTATAACGTAAATATCTCTAAAGCAAGGACCATGCCTCATTAATTAATTAATTAATTCATTCATTCATTCACAATGCCTGGCAAACATTCAATAAATGTCTGTTGACTTGAACTGTCATGTGGAGGAGGGAACAGATTTGGTTTCTGTTATCTCAAAAAGCAAAACCACAATCTACAGGATAGCAGTAATGCACAAATTGGTTAGGTGACTTTGGAAAGCAGTAGGTTTTCTCTGATGGTATTCTAGTAGAGGCTAGAAGAGCCACTTCATAAGGTACCACAGTAGGGATTTAAGCAGCCAATAGAAGGTTGGATTTGACATCCTGTAACGTCATAATAAACCATAGCATTTTATAATTGTTTGAAGTGTGTTATAGGGCATAATCGATGGTCTTGGAAGATGTTTTATAGAGGAAATATACATAAAGAACTCTAGGTAGAAAACTTAGTCTAAATAATATATAGTTCAATGAGTTTTGGAAAAATTTTTTTTTGAATAAAACCCTTCAACCTCTCTTTTCTGATGTTTATGTATATTATGATAGCTGGCCCAAAGAGAGGGGTTAAGACCCATGGTTGAGATGCTATAATGAGAAATTATCATTCTATTATGTTACCTCTGCACCCTAAATATCTACGCTTTAGTTTCTCATTAAAGATTTCACAGAAAAAAAAACTAATTGTTTGAGAATTCATGAATATGTTTCTTTGAGGGTTCTGAACAATTGTGTTGATTCTTGCACTTATTTAAAGTAATTGGACCCTCAATATTATGGCTCCAAATTGCAAATTCTTTGGTTTAGCTTTTCTGGGGTAATATTTAGAAAGGAGACTGCAGTAGGTAAATAAAATGAAAGTTTCTTTTCCACAGAAGTGAGATCTCTTCTTTTTTATTTCCTGAGTCAACCTTTGCCTTCAGAAGCTGAAAGTCAGGGAGAAATGTAGCTTTTTGTTATCTAGACTTTAAGCCTGCAGAAAATTTCATTCTCATAATGCATATGGGGCTTCTTTTTCTATCAGTCTTTAAGAAAGATTATCCCATTTTTTCTCATAGTAGAATGAACATGTATTTTTTTATCTTTCTTGGATGAAAAACAATGTTTAGGTTCTTTTTTTTTTTTTCAATTAGCAATAATCGCACCTCAGATAAACCTTATTGGCTACGATATTGCCACTGCACAAAGCTGGGTCCTTTTTGTTTTAAATACATGTAAGGTCTTTGAAGGGAGGCATGTTGCCTATTATTTAAGAGAGTTGAGTGTAGTGAAAAGAGCATTGGATTTGGAACTAAGTACCTGCATTTTAACTCCAGGCCTTCATTTGTGGGGGAGCTCTGCTCACATCCATAAAATGAGGTCATTGGAAAAAGTAGCCTCTAAGCTCTCTGCTCCTCTCATATCCTCTGTGTTCTGAGATTTCAGGTGGTATCTTGCTAGTGCCCATTATCGTGCTTGCTCATTGGGTTTGACCAACTTAAGTAAAAAGAAAAAAAAAATTGGCCCAGAGCTGGTGTTTTACGTTCAAATTTAGGATTCTCAGTTACATTTTGCACAAAGGACACTCCTCAGAAAAAATAATGCTTTTTACTCTGGATTCTCTTTCATGAACACCCTCTGCTCCCATACAAGGACTGCTTATTAATGACTGTTAAATGTAAGCATGGGATTCTATTTATCACAATTCCTTCCAAAGTTTCCCCTCTTTCACCTCCCTACTCTAATTTATCCTACAAGCTATGTTAAATTTAATTTTACTACAGATTTTCTTTCATTCACGTGCTCAAAAATGCATGTGAATTCTTCATTGGTTATGGAATAAAATCCACATTTCTATATATACAATTCAAGGCTCCACTCTATGGCCCCAGTCTGACTTTCCACGTTTATCACTGAACATAGTATATGTATAAAACCTCTATTCTAAGCAAACTGAAATTATCATTGTTTGCTCCAGTGTGGGGAGAAGATGTGCTTTCTTACCTGCACGCTTTTGTACATACTTGTTTCCCTTCTCAAACATCCCAATTCTTATTTTTTTCTGCAATAAAAACTCTTGCAATTTTTTTACAATCAGCTCAATTTTATTTCTTTATTCAACCCCTATCCCCACAGCCTACCATAACAGCTCTCAATTACTATGTAGATACTATATTTATTCACTATCAACATTTAGCCCTAGATTTGTTTTGGATAACTATACATTTGGCACTTAGCAGGAACTGCCTATCAATTCAATGCTAGGGTGTATTTCTCTCTCTCTCTCTCTCTCTCTCTCTCTCTCTCTCTCTCTCTCTCTCTCTCTTTCACCTAGAATAAAATCTTGAATGCAAGGATAGTTTTACCTACCTTTGGATCTTAATTGCTTACTAGTCTGTATTCTCACATTATCTTGCTCAAACTATCAGTAAGTTATTGATTATACAACTTAATATCTATTTATATTTCTGTCTTCATAGGTAAGCTATGAGTTTTTTGATTAAAAAAAATAATTTCCCCTTATGCTCGGCCCCAGTGCCTAGCATAACATAGATACTCAATAAATGTTTGTTCAAAGAATGAATACAGCCAGGTTTAACTTTGTCAGAAGAAGCTGCAAGAAGTTGATACATTGAACTACTTTATGAACAGTCTAAAACAAATAAGGTGATTGCCTTGGAAAAGGGGATGCCTCTTTTCTTTGTTTCTTGGCTTTTTTTCTATTAGGAATGGAACTTGAGCAGATTAAATAGGACTCAATCTTGAATCCACAAATGACACCAAACCTGAAATGACTAAAGTTGCAAGTGATTTAGTTCACTTGAATTTTATTTGGGGGTAATGTTTTCTTTCAAGGAAGAGAAATGCTAATGAAAAAATTGCCTGCTGACTACAACTTAGAAGTAATAGAAATCTGGCCAGATATGTGATCTTATAAAAGCTCTCAAAGCAAAGCATCTAATATTCATGTTTATGCCTTTGGCTTGACATGTTGATGTTTGATTTTCTCTGGTCTCCAGAGATCAAGGTGGAGAGAGGTGCCAGGGTAACAGGCTAAATAGGTCCGTTATGGGATGTTGTGCTCACTGGGCACAAATGCTGTCTCCTAGGACATTTATATCATGTATTACTCATCCCAATTTTAATAACACATGGACAAGCCTGGGACAATTTGAAAAGGATCTGATTTTTTTTTGTTATGAATGTCTGTATTATAGAATTTGTGACTCTTAGGATTGGACTGGGTCGGAAAGATTATCTTATCAAAGGGGCTTCAACTTTCTACTGGAGAAGACCTGCTTTCAATATCCTTGACATTCTAAATGATTATAGGTATTGGGGTTGGGGGACCATTTATAAGAAAAATTGGTAGATGGTGACAGTTAAGTTGTACGTTAAGATACAGGAAAAGATGGCAAATGCTGAGCCTGCCTTTTCTCTTGGAGTCATGGAGAGGTAGGACAGGGCAGGAGTGACCATCTATCCTAACTTTTCTGTTGTAAACCAAAGAAAAGAGAATGTGATCAGGATCAATGATATAAGTCAATCAAGAAAGATTCCAATATCATCTAGATCAGTTCTCAAATTTAATGTTCATTGAATAGCCTGGGGATCTTGGTAAAATTCAAATTCTGATTCAGGAGTTCTGGGGTGGGGTCTGAGTTTCTGTATTTCTAACAAGCTTCTAGGTAATACAGATGCTGCTGATACATGAATCACATTTTGAGCAGCAAGACTCTAGAATCTACCATACTGATCAGTCTGTTGGGAATTGAATCCCATGTTAGCCACCTCAAATAGAAAAGAAACAGACCCTTAGCACATAATGATGAAAGATTATTGAGTTATAGATGATCAGAACTGAACATATCTTAAAAATAATTCAGAGGAACCTGGTCAAGATGGCAGGGTAGGTAAATGCTATATTTGTCTCCCCCCATGACCACATTAAATTATTGAACAATTGACCTGGAAAAACATCAGAAAACTAGCTAAACAGAAGTCCTTTATAAGAATATAAAGAAAAAAACCATGTTGAGACATAGGAGGGGTGGAGAAGTGAAATGGGCTGGCCACAAACCAATATGTGGCAATTGAGAATCTGGAGGGATATCTTGGCTATGGAGGTCCCCTCAGAGGAGAAAAGCATCCTAGCTCCACACTGGGCTTCCTGTCCTGAGCACCAGTCCTCCCACATTTGTCTATGAAAAACAGTGGAGATTCTGTCTATTTGGGTGAGAAGGAAGGATGCTGGAAACCCAGGTGTTCTCTTAAAGGGCCTGCTCACAAACTTTCTTAGTCCCAGTACTCACTCTGGGCTCCAGCGGAGTGATGGTGGCTCAGCAGCTGCCAGAAACATACAGGGAGAGACCAAATTGTGTGGCTGCTTCAGAACGAGGGCTGGAGGAACAGCTGCCATTGTTCCTGTGTTGAGTCTTCCTCCGCTGCAGCCTACAGGAGGATGTCATCTTTCCTTGGTTGAGCCCTCCTCCCACATGGCCATATCTGAAACTGCATTGGCCTGGTGAAATCTGCTCGCTCCACCCTGGTGACTCCCTGGCACCCCACCATCAAATTCATGCACTGCAGGAGGCATTTTCAGTGGTAGGCAGCCAGTCCCACCCCAAGCTACAGTCTTTCTCAGACAACTCTTGGGGCAAACCTAGGTAAACGGTGGCTGGCCTCGGTGTACTCTGAATCTTTTGGTGAGTGGCACCAAATTTGAATTTGCACTAACCTGAACACAACTCTCTTCAACCTAGCGACTCCCTGAGATCCTGCCTCACCTAATTTGAGTACTACCAAGGCTTTTTCATTGGCTCTGCCTTACTGGCAACCAGCAGGCAGCAACAGGCCTTAGGCATGGTGCCTAGGGACTTTTGCTGAGTTGTCCCAGGCCCATATTGGTGGCAATTGGCCTCGATTTGCAACATGCCCTCTCTCACACACCTCCAGGTCCAGCACAGGCAATGACCACCCACAGACTGCTGTATAGCTCCTACCAGGTAGCCTCAGGACAGTCACAGCAGTGCTGAATCGCTCACAAGAGGCCCCAGAACCAACACACCAGAGGCCAGCTTCAGACCACAATAGAGAACAACTCAAATAGACCCACAAGTGGCACACACAAAAGGTGGTAGCAGCAGACACCAGAGCCTGTTGGGGCAAATCTCACTCCTTGAGATTAGCCCCTATAGTAGCTCATATGCTGTGGGCATGGACAATGTTCTCAGTCAGTCAACTTGAGGGTTAATCTCACCTACTGGCATGCCAATGGCTATAAAATCTCAACTACAACAGGAGAGTGCACATAACCCACACAAAGGACAGTTCTGAAGCACCTGGTGAAGGTGATCAAGGATAAAGTCACTGGGCCCTACAGGATACTTACAACATAAGGCTACCTAACCAAGAATAAAGATGTAGCGGATTCACCTAACATATAAAAACAAACAAATAAACAAATTATATCCCAAATGAAACTACAGGAAAATACTCCAAAAAAAGAACTAAAAGCAGCAAGAGAAAGGCAACTAGTTACTTACAAGGGAGCTCTCATAAGATTAACAGCTGATTTCTCAACAGAAACTTTGTAGGCCAGAAGGAATTGGCATGAAATATTCAAAGAAATGAAATGGAAGAATCTACAACTGAGACTATTCTACCCAGCAAGGCTATCACTTAAAATTGAAAGAAAGATAAAGCACTTCCCAGACAAGAAAAAGCTGAAGGAGTTCATCATCACCAAACCAATATTACAGGAAATGTTAAAGAGACTTCTCTAAGAAAAGGGGGCATAAATATGAATAACATAGCGTAGCTGAATGGATAAGAAAATAAGATCCACACATATGCTGTCTACGAGAGACCCACTTTAGACTGAGACACTCACAGACTGAAAGTAAAGGGATGGAAAAAGATATTTCATTCAAATGGAAACAAAAAAAAGTTGGTTTAGCAATATTTATATCTGACAAAATACACTTTAAAACAAAGGCTTAATAAGAGACAAAGAAGACATTTCATAATGACAAAAGGATCAATCTAACAAAGTTATATAACTCTTATAAACACTTATGTACCCAACATAGGAGCACCTAAATATATTCAACAAATATTGACAGGCATGAAGGGAGAAATTGACAGTAATATAGTCATAGTAGGGGACTTTAACATCCTATTGACACCAATGGACAGATCTTCCAGACAT